CAATAGGGGTAGTTTTAAGTTTTTTTATTTTTTTACAAAAAAATTTTCTTAATAAAAGTTTTATTAGATGACATTTTCTACAATTTTTCCTGATCAACTTTTTTTGTAACTCACCCCTATTCAGCGGGGGGACACTTCCCTCGGGGAAATTTTAGATTTAGGGGTGAGTGCATATAAAAAGTTGCAATTAACATTGTATTAAAAGGATTTTTTTGTTCACCATTTTTTTGTTTTTAGGGGTAGTTCGCCTATTTTCAACTTTACAAAAAAAAATTATTGAGAAAATTTGTTCATTTTATTATTTTGAGCAACTTTTCTCTATAACTTTTTTTTTGCAAAGTTGAAAATAGGCGAACTACCCCTAAAAACAAAAAAGGGGTGGAAAAAAATCCTTTTAGTACAATGTTAATTGCACGTTTTTATATGCACTAAAGGCGAGAAAAGAAAAAAAAAATTAATATATACCCCTAAAAACTATAATTTCCCTAAGGGAAGTGTCCCCCCGCTGAATGGGGGTGAGTTACAAAAAAATTTGATTCGGAAAAATTGTAGGAAATGTAATCTTATAAAACTTTTATCAGGAAATTTTTTTTGTGAAAAAATAAATAAACTTTAAACCAGGGATACGGTTTTTTTTTAAAAAAACCGATATTGCCCATACCGATACGATATGGCTTTATAGAAGGCCGATACCGATATAAGGCCGATACCAATATATTATTTGTTTTCTCGCACCTTTTCCTTTAGTTTGAATGTATTACTTATTTATTTGTTTTCTCCTAGTTTCAATATTGTTTGTTCAAGTTCAGATAAGCAGAAAGTTTTTTTTTTTTTTGATAAATAAATAATTTTGAATTTGAGTTTGGATAAGCAGAATGTTAAGTTTTTTTTTATATAAATACCCAATTAATTTAAAATAAATTTATGAAAAACAATTTCCTCGACAATTTCTAATATTTACTTTCTTCTTAGTCACTCCCATATGTACGAATCACAATTATTAGCTCTTTTAGGCTTCAACAAAGCCTTAGTGATGATTACTGATCTTTTAAAATATGATTTGTATCGGTCTAAAGTTATCGGCCAATGAAGGGCCGATATGCCGATACACCGATATACCGATATGCCATATCGGTATCGGTCGATCCCTGCTTTAAACTACCCCTATTTAAAAACGACAGGGGGTGAGTAAAAACTTCATAAAGCAAAAATGTTGTATGTGTTGTAGAAAAATTTTTCACGTTGGTTAAAATTTTTCATTTTCATTATGAAATTTCAAACGGCCCTTATGACCACAGACGGCCCTTAATCAAAAAAGTCTTTTGATAAACATTGTAGATCAAATAATGTTGCACATCTTTTATTTGAAACATTTTTTTTTAAATCAATAGGTACCAAGTAATCGCCAATGGCGCACTTTCAACCCCTATAGCGCAAAACGCCAGAGGGGTGAATGTTTGATATTTTCGGTTTTATGATCACCCGCCCGCCCCCTATCATCCCTGAAAACTTCATTTGGCTAGGAATTTTTTTTTTGCAATACATGTATTTTTCGACTATTTTCTTAGACTATACCATTTCCAGCATTATTTCACACTAGTGAAATTTGATTTCAAATTAATGAAAACTAAATTCACATCAGTGAAATCTAATTTCGCTCAAATGAAAATTGATTTCAAAGTAACGAAAACTAATTTCTCACTAACGAAATTTGATTTCACATTTTTGAAAATGAATTTCAAACTGACCCTAATTAATACTTATTTTTCAAACATTCATTATTTCAGCCTAATGAAATAAACCCACTGAGTTTAGGAAACTGTGGTTTAGATAACATAAAATACAATCATGAAATAAGCATGAATGATTTAAATAAATTATACTTCAGTTTAGCAAATCACGTGGAAAGGTATAATCTCGGGTATAATGCAGCTATCTCAAGAGTGGGAAGATTCAACTGAAGTTCAATTTATTTAAATAATTTATAATTATTATTGTTAATTGCTTCATGATTGTATTTTTTCTAAGGGAAGTTTGTGTCCTATCAGTATCCAATGGAGGGGGTGATTCGTCGCTTAGGACAAAAAAAAATATTAAAAAATTTGCCTTTTTACAATTTTATCAATGTATTGTGATTTGGTTATGTGCACTTGAATGTTCCATCCTGAAAAATCTCACACTATTTCATATAATTCTAGCCACATAATTTTTTAAGTACAAGGCATGTAAACTTCAGTTTTTTGTTAGCACTTTTTTGATGTTCCTAATATATATTTAGGCCCTGATGAAGCCCTAAACTTTTGGGCAAAACGTTGGCAAAAACTTAACAGGCCTTTTAAGTTTTATTTGTCCTAACCGACGAATCACCCCCTTCATTGTATTTTACGTTATGTGAACTCAGTGGGTTTATTTCATTACGGTGAAATAAATAACATTTGTTGATGTTTTTTTCAAACTAAAATAATAAATGTTTGAAAAATGAGTATTAATTAGGGTCAGTTTGAAATTCATTTTCACAAATGTGAAATCAAATTTCGTTTGTGAGAAATTAGTTTTCGTTACTTTGAAATCAATTTTCATTTGAGCGAAATTAGATTTCACTGATGTGAATTTAGTTTTCATTAATTTGAAATCAAATTTCACTAGTGTGAAATAATTCTGGAAATGGTATAGATGCTACCCACAGTAAAATAGAAAACTACTGTAAAAAACAATGAACTATAGGAAAAAACAGGAATGCGCACACATTGCCATATCTGCCAAAAAAATGAGGCCAAGAAAGACAGATGCCACAAAGGGGAATGTTGTTTTTTTCTGTTGCTCGCTGAAATATGACGTTTTGGAAAGTTTTGTCATATGTATTTACCTTCACAGGTTTCATCAACTGGAATACGTAATGGAAGCAATTTCTGCCATTTAACATAATGAGTGCGACAAAAACAGGTATCCCCTCTGCAGCAGCGGCACTAGGCTTCACGTTCGTCAATATGTGTGAGCATTCCAGTTTTTGACTATAGTTCATTGGTAAAAAATAGATTTTTTCTCCAAACGTCAGAAAAACGTCTCTTTGTTAACTCCTGTCAAGATGTCAGAAGTTTGATTTCTATGCTGCTAGGCATATCCAGCGGTTTAACACCTGTCGAGGTGGTAGAAATTTAATTTCTATGCTGCTTGGCAACCCCAGCGGCAGCAAAAGTACCTTTAGTGCCGCTGGAGCGGCAGTAGAAGTACTTTTAGTGCCGCTCGTACTTTTACTGCCGCTCAGCCATTCACTTGCTCCGGAGCTTACCCCATTCGTTTGGAGAAAAAATAGCGTGTTGCATACGGAGTAGAAGCACTTTTTTGTGCTTCAGCAGTATTGCAAGCCTCACTACGTTCGGCTCGCAAACCTACTGCTTCAGCACAAAAAAGTGAACCTTCTACTCCTAATACAACAATATACTATTTTAAGTAAAATTACGTCATCGTCGAAAAGCGAAACGTCAAAGGCGTCCAAAATGTCAGAAATTTAAAATAAGGGAAGTTTACTGCCTTGCATAACCATACACAAATAAAGACAAGCAGTAACCTTATTAAGGGAATCCTTATTTTCGGACCCAATTGCGCATGCGTAGATGTCAAAATAAGGCTAATTCAAATACTGCTTGTCCTTATTGCACGTCCAATAACTCTCTATTAAGCAGTAAACGGCATTATTTGGCTGTTTGGCAGTTGGTGTACACATTTTTACTAGGTGGTTTGCCCCTCGTAGATTTCCATATACCTACCGAGATAGAACAAAATAAAAGGGCCACTCGAGGGGCCACTCTGTACAATGTCCTATACCCGAGCCTATACCTATCTTCAACTGTTTCGGAAATAGGAAATAGGTATCAAGTTTTTCAGATTTATTGCAAAAATTAACATAAAAAAAATAAAATTATTTGATTACAGAAATTGGCTACAACTACAACACACTCGATACTTATTTCCCATTTAGGTCGTAAAAACCATTTCAGTGCAATTTTTAGTGTTCTCTTTTACCAATTCTGATATGAAATAAAAACAAGTTATAAATAGCTTTGTTTAAAACGCCTGGCCTTAGCAAATTGTTGTTTGAATGCACACTGCACCACAGTAGTTCTCAATGTGGATAGTTATAGTCATTCAAATTACGTTAACTCTACAGGGTGTTTCTGAATAATGGGATCAAACTTCTAGGATAAATAGTACTTAAAATAAAATAAAAAAGTTAATAAAAACATGAGTCCGCAAATGCTTGGTTTGCTAGATACAGCGTGTCAAAGTTTGAATAAAACTCAGTGGATTTTTTTGGGGATTTGTGGACCCATCATGTTTCCACCAGGGACAGGGACACACCAACTTTTTTTAATTTTTAATGAGTTGAATGAGTAGGTACTATTTATCCTAGAAGTTTGATCCCGCTCTTCAGAAACTTCCTGTATACATAGGTATATCAGAAAGATGGTTCATTTTTGTTGGGGAATGAATTTTTCCTGTCAACATCATCATTTAGGTAATAGTGAGGGTAATAGCTATTTACCTAAGAAATGCGGAAAAAACTTTCCACAAGTGCTAGGTACAATAGTTTTTTGGTAGCTGTGCGGAAAATTGATTTTTCCGCACTGCTGTAGAAAAATAATTTTGAGATGTAGCAAGACAACAAAATGGTCTAGGGAACAAGATAAACCTAAACTTGTAACTAAAGCATACATGGTAAATTTGATAAGATTTGTTTGATAAATGATACCCAGGTTATCCAAAAAAAAGTTGTTTTGTCTTAAAATTAAAAGTTGTTCCCTTGTTCCCTCCTAGACTATTTTGATGAGTGTACTTATGATAATTTGAATTATTTGCAAGTCAACACTAGTCAAAAGTAGATATTATGATGAAGGTCAAGGGTTTGCAAAAACATCCTGTGTAAGGAAAAACATCTTTAAAAAGTTAAACCTTTGGTTAGTTTGGGTTAGTTTGGGTTAGTTTGGGTTAGTTAGACTTACCCCAGAATAAAGTATATTCGGCGATGGATCAGGTTTAACTTCAGCCAAACTAGCAAAATTGTTACTTTTTTGCAGTTTGCAAACTTTGGAAATTACGTTCCTGCCTGCTTGTAGGATCCTCATGTTGTATTAAGTAAGTTCTTTTTCGGCATACACAAGACGCGATACCACAGCTGCGATACCACAATACCGGTCACTGGACACGACAACCTCAAAATAATGGAAATTGGGAGTGTCAGCAAAAGCAAGGCACCGACGATGAGTCGAGAACTACGATGATATATAAAATATAATGGTGGGATTTAGGGATGTCAATAACCGGTAGTTAAAACCGAAAAACCGATGTTTTCTTTTCGGTTAACCGGTTAAAACCAGTTGTTTTTTGCTTCCAGTTATAACCGGATAACCGGGTTTCATACTTAATAACCGCCATAACCGGTGAAAGTGAAACACGTAGACTTTTCTCTAGTCTTATTAAATAAATTGTCAAATATTAAATAAGCAACAACAGTTGAATACCTATTTCCACAGTCTTTAACCGATAGTAGTGCCTATCTGTAGTAGGTATTTCATTTCAGTTTTGGTTGATTCGTGCAGCAGCGGGTTGTTTTCTGTTTTTTCAATGGGTACATGTTTCAAATGACAGAAGAGAAGAAAAGTGTAGGAATTCTTTGATGATTTTTCCTAACAAGTAACAGTTCCCGATTTTTTTTTACAATGAAGATATGTTGTTGTTTAACTAATTTTACATTATAGTATAAATAATGCAATTATTTTATTTTGATAAAATTCGGGAAAATAACCGAACAACCAGTTAATCGGAATAACCGATGTTTTATATCAGTTATAACCAGGCAGTTAGAAAGGTTACTAAATTAACCGGTTAACGGAAAAACCGGTGTTTTAATAAAAATTGACATCCCTAGTGGGATTGGCTAGGGATCGGGATAAATTATAGGTTTAATATAAAATAATATATAACAACATAATATATTTATCTCCCACTACCCACACTGCTAGTGCTAGGAATGGCAAAAATATATCGATATTTTGTAAATATCGATATATTACTCAAATATGTATATCGATATATTTTAATCGATATTTTACATTCAATATATCGAAAAAAATATCGATATAATCTTTTTGATATATCGGAAATTATTCTGTGCTCGTGCGCATACTTCATTTGTTGACTGTGACAGTCTGACAGTTGACAGTGGCGGCTAAAATAAAACAAACGTCAGTTGAGGCGTGTACGTACCAACTGAATGAGGAAAAGAGATTGTCCGCATGATTAAGGAACGTTATTTTTCTACGATCGTGCAAAAAAGATCCTTGGCGAAAAAGTACTTTTTCGCACGCATTTTAGGAGATGAAAGTATCAGGGTGACCTAACATTGCATAATTATTTTACTTTTCCACATTAGTGCGAAAAAGTGATATTTTCATAATCTAAAATGTGTGCAGAAAAAAGTATTTTTCGCATGTTCGTAGAAAAAAATAGAAAAAAAAAATTGATATGGATATATTCAAAATATCGATGTTTTTTGTTCGATATATCGAATGTATCGATATGTTATTTCGATATATCATATGAGGGCTGTTCGCACAGCAATCACAAACCAGTCAGAGCGAACTTCATTGGTTGAAAACAATCAGAAACAGTCAGAAAACTAGTTTCAACCAATGAAATTCGCTCTGACTGGTTTGTGATTTCTCTGCGAACAGACCTAAGATTCGATATATCGATATATTTTTTCATTTTGCCATCCCTAGCTAGTGCTATTTTCACCCCACTAGCTTGAGCCGCTTTCAGTATGGGAGTGTGACGCCCGGAGCTACTCGGGGCGTTGAGCCCCCGAGCTGTACGTACGCGTCAACCTATCAGCTGTCACATCCGCGGGGGGCTATTTATCTATTTATTTCTTGTTATATCTCAAGATTGAACATTTTAAAATATATAGTTTTGATTCTCTTTCATTTTTGATGAATGAAAAACAAACTGCACAAACAAACAGTACAAATCTAGTGCGTGGCGCCCCCGAGGTGCTCTAGAACGCGCCAGAGCGCGCCAATGTGCATACTGGAAAGCGGCTTTGAATTCTTTCTTGGATGATAAGATAGCGAATGCCTTTGGCCGAACACAAATAACTCTATTTGATCGATTACTGGATTCGGTAGAGTGTTCTCTGGTACGGTTGTGCACCTACTCTTGGAGGTCGTGCAGCACCAAGGCAAGGATATTACACACTAATACAGGATTGCTCATCGGCATTGTTGCCCTCGTTTTTGGTTATCGCGATCATATGGTGTAGCACTATTGCCGACGTTATTAACTAGTCGCCGGCTGTTTGCGCCAGCGGTCGTAGTTTAAAATTAAAATGTATGATCAAAAATATTATTAACATAGGCAAAGAGGAAGATGCAAACGAGATTTTAAAAATGAGTTGTTTTAGAATGTTAATTGATGCAGTAAAACCTTCGACCATTGAACACTCGCTCACTCAGCAGTTTAAAACTCGATAAGTAGTAAAATCAAGTATCCGTATGCGTAAAGCAAAAGCTCGCGGAATCATAATTATTGTAAAATATTCCAATCGTTACGGTTATAGATGGGGAGCTGGCGTCAAAAGATGCAAGAGTTTTCTCAAGGCTGATATTTTCAAAATAGGTCGTACTTTAGTGTTAGAAGGCTAGTGTACAGTCAGCACTTACAGTTCCGGGACAGCTGGCTCTGGGACGCGGGCAAAGTTGTAAATTTAAGAAGCATCTAAACTGTTTTCTCAAAGCTCAAAATTAATAGAAATTTTGAACATTATCTGTTTGAAGGTCACAGATAACGTATGTAAATCATCAGACGTCTAGTTCGTTGCAAAAAGGTGGTCAGACGTCCTCAAAGTTTTTATTTTATGGCATTTTCTTCAGATAGGTATATTTGTACAAATACCTGCAAAAATATATTTTGACAGGACACCGAAGAAAATGCCATAGAATAAAAACTTTGAGGGCGTCTGACACCCCTTTCGCAGCGACCTAGACGTCTGACAATTTACACACGTTATATGTGACCTTCAAACAGATAATGTGCAAAATTTCTATTAATTTTGAGATTTGAGGTAACAGTTAGATATATCTTAAAATAACAACTTTGCGCGCGTCCCAACGCCAGCTGTCCTAGAACTGTGAGTGCTGACTGTACACTAGCCTTCTAACACTAAAGTACGACCTATTTTGAAAATATCAGCCTTGAGAAAACTCTTGCATGTTTTTGACGCCACCTCCTGGACTATTATTTATTAATTCCTGTAAAAATGTATTTTCGCAAAAAATAAACAAAATTCATCCTTCATAAAAAAGTTAGATTATTTTTTTCTTCTACCGTGCGTAAACTACTCACTTTACGCCCTTTTCAAAAGAAGTAAAATTTCACTTCAGGCACTTGTACGTGAAGTAATAGACCTATCTATATATTTGGGAATGAATTCTACGCCTACCGGTAGGTCCTTTGTTATCCAACAATCATACGCCTACCAGTAGGTTCTGATTGTGCGCCTACTGGTAGGTCCTTTTTTGTCAATTGATCGAGCGCCTACTGGAAAGTTTGTTATTACTTTAGAATTCGTATGTCCTACCAGTCAGCTGTTGCTAAATACTTTAGTGAAATTTTGTTTTTTTGTAGAATTGACATCAAGAAATTCGTCCACTGAGTAATAGGCCTCTATTAGTACCTAACATCTTTCTATCTTGGGCTTTAAACTTGTTGATGTTTGGAATCTGCTCTGCTACATTCCAGACGGCAACCTATTCAAAATCCTTCTGGCACGCACCTTGAAGTTATCTTTATACCTTCGATTGCTCGCTCTGCGATCGCCAAATCTCAAAAAGAAGATCCTTGGATGCGTAAATGCACCAAAAACATGCAAAGTCTTTTTTTAAATATAGTACTTGACCGTGTATCTTATGCTCTAAAATAAAAGATTTTCTTTTCCTGTTTTCAACAAAAATATACTGTCACAATAAGCTAAACGTCCGCCAGGCTGTCAAGAATCGATAGCGGAAATACTAGAATCTAGCGAATTATTCTACTTTAATCTGGAAAATTAGATTATCGTGTATTCTAGATTTCACAGGAATAGATTTAGGGATATATAAGAAGGCCGGCATTGGTTTGTAGTTAAGTTTCAGTTCGACTGTGATACGATTTAAATAGTGATTGTAAAGAGTTTAATTGTTGAGTTTGTTAATAAAGTAATTAGTGTCAGAGTGTTTTGTTAAGTGGAATAAATTATTGCTGTGTTAATTGGACTTTGATTTTTGGAATAAACGAAACGAACAACGAACCCAAGATTTTTGTCAGCAGGCAACCCAAAGCCGCGACATTGGTGTCAGAAGTGGGATATAAAGGACTGCAGAGTGAAATCCAATTGCGGAAGTGTGGGGACACTAGTGTAGTGTAAAAACTGAACACTAAGTGAACACTGGGACAGTTAGTGCAGTGCAAACAGTGACAATCACAAAAAGAGACTCAGCCGATCGTGTGAATTATTCCGGAAGTGACTCTATACCCGATTTAGACTGTGATAGTGAATCTTCGAGAGAGTTCTAGAAAATTCTATTTGGAAACTAAGGGAGATATCCAATTTGTGACTTCACCGGCGTGTTTGGAACTTCGAGCAAAGACCAGAAAAGATATTTGAAGAAAGTTCGAGGGAAATTCTAGAACATTCTGTATATGCCTATCACAAGACAACAAGCCAAAATGGACGAACAAAAAGTTGAAGAACTCCTGCACAAAATGTTGGAACTTCAAGAGACCAAACGACAACAAGAAAAACAAGACGAAGAAGCTAGACGACAACAAGAAGAAGCTAGAAGACAACAAGAAAAACAGGACGAAGAAGCCAGACGACTACAAGAAAAACAAGACGAAGAAGCCAGACGACAGGTGATTTTATGACACCCTCAGTCTGATGGCATGGTGGAACGATTCAATAAGACCATAGAGGAACACCTGACAAAAGTGGTCGCAAAGAACCAACGAGATTGGGACAAGCATTTGCCTCTCTTTTTAATGGCTTACAGAGCGGCTGTTCACGATTCAACAGGTGAAAGTCCGGCTAGAATTGTTTTTGGAAGGGAACTCAGGTTACCTTGCGATCTGATGTTTGGAGTACCCCTAGAAGAACGAAGAGAAATCCGAGATTATGCCGACGAAGTAAGGGCACGACTTCTGGGTATCCATGATTTTGCTCGGGAGCATATTCAACTAGCCAGTGACCGAATGAAGACCAGATATGACTTGAAGGCCAATTCGGTCGGATTTCAAGAAGGTGATTTAGTGTGGTTG